CGGTCCAGTGACTTTGAGCCGAACTCCAAGGTCACTTAACTGTTTCTGCAATGCTTTCGTGAATCGCTGGGGTGCATAAGGAGGTTTACACTTCATAAACGATAGGCTGAGATATACAGCCTCCAGATGTGGAGGCTCCATTGTTTGTAGGGCTATCAGCCAATGAGAAGATGCTGAGCTGATTAATCTTCTGTTTTTAACCACTTAATCCATTCATTTAAAAAAAAAAATCCCCTTTGATCTTGTGGTTATTAAAATCTCAACATAAACACCAATATACATTGAAAGAAATCTGAAAGAACACAACTGCCTTATATCACTTAGGCTCTAGTATACTCATTTGTCCTATTTATTTTTTAAATTCTATCTTTTTAATGTTAAGGTTTGCACATCTTGTTTTGTTAGCTATTTTCCTTTCTTTATAAACTTTATTGGAGGGCCTTGTATTGACCCATCCTTTATAAACAGGGTTGCTTCTTTTATAAATAAGATAGATACTAAAACTGCATGAAATAGGAAAATCTTTAATACTTGAAATATTAATCTCCAAGTTCAGCCAAACAAAAATTTGCATTCAGCCAATGCATTTCAAATGGGAAAAAAACGAGCTATAAATGAACCAATCCATCAATGAGCCTTTTTGAGGATTGGTCTAATGTTTAAGTCAGCTGAAGCAGGCAGTCCTTTTTCTTAGAAAGCCTAGTCAACAGCTTTTGCTAGACTGGTCACAGGAAACTTATTATGGGGACTGTACAGAAGGATCTTTGAGTGCTCAACACACTTATCACAGGGGCCGGCCAGAAGGAGGACATAATAGAGATGCTCCATTCTTTAGCTCCAGAATGCTCCCGTCCCACAGAAAAGGTGGCATTTTAATTTTAATTTATTGTGTTATTTTAAAAAATGCATCATTTATTTATTCCACAGTTTTTAGGGCCTGCCCCAATCAAGTCTCTGATCAGGTCACCATGCATTAAACTTTTTAAAAGCAACAATAACAATAAATCAACCCCACCCAAAGATGGGTGCCAGTAACATTTAACTGACGTTAAAGGCTCAGTGAAAGAAAACTGTTTCCAAGGGTCTTCTGAATGCCGTGTGGGAGGAGGCATTACAAACCTCTGCGAGTAGAAGTTTCAAAGGGAGGGGCCACCATAGAGAAGACCTCATGATCTTGTCCGTATCTCCCTCACTTCAGATAGAGGTAGATTTTTGTTAAAAATCCCAAATCAGTTTACATTAAAAATAGTTTTAATAAGCAATACTATAGTATACCAAAATACTTTAACAGTCGTCACCAAAAAAAAACCAAAAAACCTGAAACCATAAAATAATGCAAACATTATTAGGGGCAGCTGTGCAAAATAATCAGAGGAATTTCTCAGCCGCAGAAGACCCCTGGCTGGTCTCTCTCTCTCTCTCTCTCAGCCCAACCTCCCTCACAGGATTATTGGGACAATGGGCAGAAGAATACTAGGTGCACTATCCTGAGCTCCTGAACAAAAGGCAAGATAGAAAACTAACAGAGATTGATAGATAGATAGATAGATAGATAGATAGATAGATAGATAGATAGATAGATA